ACGGGGCATCTGCTACCACACTGTACTTTCCTTCAACGGGTTTGAGCTCGAAGTCAAACTGATCTATCTCTGCAGCCCACCTAGTACACTTAGGTGTCATCTTGGTCTGCATTTTCAGCCACCTCCATGTCTCGTGGTCTGAATAAACTTTGAAGCGTCTCCCAACCAAGTAATGTCTCTAGTGGTCTAATGCTTGCTTGAGAGCGTAGAGTTCTCTTTCGTAAGTTGAGGCTGCTACCTTTTCTGAAGCCAACCTAGCTTCCATAACCTCTACAGGTTTGTACCGATTACCATCATCTTGTTGTAAGACGGCACCAACGCCATACTGACTTGCGTCTGTAGTGACGACAAAGGGTAAGGATGGATCAACTACCTTGCGGACTGGATATTCTACCAAGGCCCGCTTTAACTTCTTTAGGGACGAGGTGCAATCTTGACCCCACATCCAGATTGCTTCTTTCTTTAGCAATCTGCGAAGGGGAGCAGCAATCGCAGAAAAGTTCCTGACAAACTTCCTGTAGTAGTTGGCCAGTCCTAGGCACAATCTCAACTCTGTGAGTGTACGAGGGGTTGGCCAGTCCCTAGTCGCTGCGATTTTGCTGTCCTCAGGTCTTATGCCATCTCCTTCTAAGACGTGGCCCAAGTACAGGATTTTGGTTTGGGGCCGCTCACACTTCTTTGCGTTCATCTTGAAATTTGCGTCACACAACTTTTCCAAGATCTGCCTCAGATGAGCCTCATGCTCCTGGAGGGTTTTACTAAGAACTAAGATATCATATAAATATACTACTACAAATCTGTATAACCACGGCGTGAACAAATCATTCGTACATCACTGAAAGGTGGCCGGTGCATTTGTTAGCCCAAAGGGCATCGCTATAAACTTGCAATGCCCATATCTAGTCCTGAACGCCGTTTTGTACTGATCATCGGGGTTGACCTCAATCTGATGGTACCCAGACTTTAAATCTATTTTTCTGAAGTACTTGCAACCCTACACCCGATCGAGTAGATCATCTATTTGGGGCACTGGTTCTGCATTCTTGACTGTAACAACATTTAGACCCATGTAGTCAATGCACATTCTCAACTCTCCCTCTTTCTTAGGACAAACAGAACAGGTGCTCCAAATGGAGACGAACTGGGCCTAATCCAGCCCTTCTCGAGGAGTTCGCCCAACTGCTTACGTAGCTCCTCTGACTCTTTAGGAGACATCCTATAGACTGCTCCTTTATGAGAGGAATGACCCCTCGCGGGGCCCGTGTCAAGCATGCACATGTTCTGGGCAGAGGACCCCAGGAAGCCAAGCGCCCGCCCTAAGTGAAAGCGGACCTGAATATTCACTGAAGGCCAAAATTCGACATTTTGCATATGTGGGTACTCGGGCTGTTGCAGCCCGCCAATTAGTTGAGTGGCACGTGAACCTCCCTAACCTCCCTAAGCTACTTTGTACAGTTTGGCCCAGGCCTTGGCTGTCGCGCCTGGGCACATATACACAATGCAGGGCCGATACATCACGAAGTGGCCACACGCCTACGCAAAAGCAACACTGTCGATGTACATACCATGTGTCCTGTGCAAATGCAGCAAACGGCCCAAGTTTGGAGACTCGGGCCGTGCCCAACTGGAAAGGGCCCAGGCTCTCAACTATAGCACTGGGCCTGGGCGCAGGCACTGGGGCCCAACCGGAAGCGACTGGAAGCTTCCAGCCAGGCCACACGCAGCCAAGCACAGGCTTCCACTTCCATACATGAAGGAAGGCAGCCAGGGTCTGGCATTCTGGCCCACACAGGCAATGTGGTCACGCTGCTGCGTGCTGCATTGCGGCCAGGGCGCTTGTGGGGCGCACGAGAGGTGAGAGGGGCCCCTGCTAGGCAGCGGAGCGCTAGCAGCCATAGCTGGGCTGCGGGGCGCTAGGGGGTAAGAGGGTGATCGGTGGTCTTCAGGACGGAGGCGAGTGTGGGTGGACAGCGTTTGACGAGGGGAGACTAGATACGTACCTAGTGCAGGAGAGAGGTCGGCTATGGTATTGCCATCATGTACATGTCTTCAAGAGTCAAAGTGAGCTTGTTGCGAGCATGCTGATGTAGGTAGGATAGTCAAGTAGTGTAGGCTGGGCGCTGAGCGCCAAACAGAGAGGAGCGACTTTGGATACTGCCTGAGGGCTTGAACATTGGCTCATTACTTCATTGTATTGCTCTTATTTGGATGGAATCTCGACGCATTTGTGCTCTCTGCTTGTACACGACTACTTGGACATCTGTGTGATTTTGCAACTTGGCTTTCTGTATATCGTTCCCACTCATATTCCTTGCATTTAGGAGTTTTACTACGAGGTTCTATCTGAATGCGGTGTTGGATGGGATGTGGTACTACTCCTGAAGGGGCTTCTGACAAGTCTGCGTACTCTTCAAGCAACTTGGCAATAATGGGGTTGGTTACTTCCTCTTTCTCAGGCTCAGTAACTGGCCTAACAAAAACCTGAACGGACGAGCATTGAGACAACAATGTGCTTGGGAGTTTACTCCTAACACATGGAACAGGCGGGCCTTCTTGACGCCACCTGAAGGACTAGGAAGCCTAGACTCGTGCTCGCACAAATGGAATGTGGCTCCTGTCGCCTCTCCCCAATCCATTCCTAACACTACATCGAAAGGAAGGTCATCTTCCACGAGGAGAGTTGGGGAATGGAAAACTTTCTCTACTTTCCCATCTGCCTCTAGGCGAAAATATGTTTGGACTCCCTCGACATAATCCTCAATCCGCATTGTGCGGTTGTTAGCGAGGATACTGACTACGGGTTCTTCTAGCTTTTGGACTGTCAGGACAAGCTTAAACGTCTTCAGCACTTTGCGGCTAATATAGATACACGTAGCCCCACTGTCTATAAGGGACCCTACTCTAGCTCTAAAAATCTCTACATTTGTTATCAGTAGTTGTCCTTTACCTTCTTTCTTCATTGGCCCAGGCCGACATTCTCTCCTTCAATTCTTATGCCAGGCCTCTCAGGGAAGCGCCTAGAGAGATTCCAACACAAGCAGTCTCTGGACCGTTGTTGGGCAGCAACCTCTGCCATAGACGTACGCGGAATGGGAGTTTTTATTTGGCGCGAGCACTCATCTCCACGTAGTCTAGAGGGAAGGGCAACTGCTACCCCTAGGGTTGCCTTTTGCTGCCTCCAAAGCAGCTCGCCAGGCACCTCTATACTTTGGGCAAAATTTGATGATATGCCCGAGATCACTGCAGAACACACACTGAAACATGCCTACCCTGTTTTGCCAGCCAGTTTGTTCAATGCCCAGCGTTTCCCAGGGCGTCCCTCAGGCCAACCAGGGTGCCAACCACCCCCTTTGGGAGGTGATCGATCTGAACAAGGACGGTTAGACGGGGGACCTTGACCCCTGCCTCCCGCTTGGCCGTTTCCTCCGCCTCCAACCTCCTGGCCGCCCTGTCCTCAACCACCAGAGGCCTTACCACTTTGGCCTTGGGCCCTTCCTCTTCCGTGCGACCTCCCTACGGCTG